CATGGGCTTGGGAGGAGCCCCTGGCTCCTTTCTTTTACCAGTTCCATCTCATTTTCTTTTTGTTTTTTTTTTTAATAGTTATGAGACATAATAGCATTAACAAATAAAATTTCCATCTGTTGTGAGAATTCTTTTCCTGGGGATACTAAGCAATGCTTACTCCCTTTTAAGGTTCTAGTGTCAAGCCAATGTTTGATTAAAGTCTTACTGGGGAACCAGTGAATTTTATTTTTTAAATAAACTATATATTTGGAGACATAATTTTGTTTATTTGTAAACACCTAAATATTTCAGCAAGATTCTGAAATACATTTCGTTTTTCAGACTTAGTGCTACGGTGAAAACAAAACCAAACAAGACCCAGTTGTTTTTCTTTTATATTTTAATGTGTAGAGGCCAGCAAATTGGCTCAGTGGGTAAAGATATTGCCATCAAACGTCACTACAGAGTTCAATCCTCAGGACCCTCATGGTAGAAGGACAGCACTGACTCCCATGATTTATCCTCTGACTTCCACATGTGTACCATGGCACATGCACACATGGCATACATGCACACACACTTTTTATCTTTTCATGTAGTGAACTTCTTTAAATTATTTCCTTAATTTGTGTATATGTGTGGACTCAAAGAGAAAAGAAAAAAGTTTAAAAATATTCTATTATTTTTATTTTATGTGTATGGGGGTATTGTTTGCATGTGTGTAAGTGCATCCGTGTCATGCCTGTGGAAATCAGAAGACAGTGTTGGATCCCCTGGAACTGAAGTTAGGAAGGTTGTTAGCCATCATGTGGGTGCTGGGAATCGAACCCGGGTCCTCTGCAAGAGCCGTCAGTGCTCTTAACCATTGAGCATCTCTCCAGCTCCAACAATCAGTTCTTTTTTAAATACATGTTTAAAAAAGTATGCATTTGGAATAATTGAATTACTGCATGTATTTATATGTGGAAAACAATACCAGTTTTCAGAAACTATTCTTCTATATTTTATGCTAGAACTCTAAGAGATGCCATAGATAGACAAAAATAAGGGAAATAAGCAACCGCTATCTATCTATTTATTTATTCATTCTTCATTCATTTATTTAATGATATTTGGGTTCAAACTCAGGCCTCACACATGCTAAGTGAGTGCTGAAGCCTGTTATCCTTAGCTCTGCGTGGTGACCCAACTGGCCATGTAGAAAATGTCGAAGATTTATGTTCAAGAATATATTTTTTCTTTAATAAGATACTTTTTTTTGACAGGTGTTCCAAAACTGCAGCTGCATTGGAACATCTGGAAACTCGACTGCAGTCCTTGGGCTGTGTGACAAAGGCCGTGACTGCGCGAACGTGCTGCAGTACTTCCTAATTATGGCCGTGTTTGGCAGTTTCATTTACTCCTTAGCTGCAATACCCGGATACATGGTTCTGCTGAGGTACCAGAATAAGCGCCTTTATTTAGGCTTCTCTCTCATTAACACGGATATGTGAGTGTGGGTGTCTGTGCTTCATGATGTATGCATGGAGGTCAGAGGACACATCCAGAGATGCGTTTTACCGAGCTCCTAAGCATTTCTCAGTCCAATCAAGTTGAAAATGAAGATCAACTCCCATCACATGGCTCCAGTGTTACTACTTTTTCTGTTCCATAAATTTGTCTCCTGTAACCAGTGTTCCACTGACTTCTTAGGCATTTCGCCTGTTAAACTCACACTCTTAAAACCCACTTTGCTGCCTTAACGCTACCTTATTCCAAAGCTGAGTCAACGATCTTTGGATCTTTATATTTACACGTAAGTGTTCATTAGGCTTATATTGGTTCTGTACATCGATGACAGAAAACAAAATATTGGCAAATATGCAGTATCACTTAATTTACTTAGATTTTCTTTATATCCTTTGGCATAGTTTTAAAAGATTTTTCATAAATATATGTTGTTAGGTTGCTTCTTAAATATATGGATATATAAATTGTACATAAATACCTACAAATACACATACCCCCACACACATACGGAGAAACCCATGGTTTCTCTATGCACAGACAAGCCTTCTGACACTAGTCCTGTGTGTGTGTGTGTGTGTGTGTGTGTGTGTGTGTTCTCTGATTAATTCTGTGATGCTAGATTGGTGTTTTGCAGGACAATTTGGACAAGAAGTCAGCATCAGCTCCCTAAAGTTAAAGGACTCAGTCCTACAAAACTGCCTTTACTTCAGATACTAATATCACCTCCAATCCCACCTTTCCAGAAGTAAGGCGGTGGGTGCTAATTGCAGGTCTCAGCCTCCCATGCTTTTTAGAAAGTATTTATTTATTGTGTGTGGAGGAGGGGAACATGCATGTGCCATGTGCTTATGTGGAGGATAGCTTTCAGGAGTCAGTTCTCTCCTTCCACCGTGTGGGTTCCAGGGATCGAACTCAGGTCATCAGGCTTGCTGACAGATGCCTTACCCTCTGACCCTCTGAATCACCTTACTGGCCCCATGACTTCCTAGATTCTGACTGACTACTAAAAAACTGGAAATTCCCATATCCTGTTTGAGTTTCTGGAATTTGCTGTAATGCCCCAGAGAACTCAGGGAGGCTGATTAATTACACTTATTCGTCTATTATAAAGATTATAAAGGATACAAAGGGAGCCACAGTGAGGCTCTGTCCCTACTGGCATGTGGATCTGTTCACCGGCCTGGGAGTTTATCAAACCTTCTTGTTGAGTTTTCAGAGCTCAGTCTCCAGTGCCTTAAACCCTACTTTTCTGGAGGTCAGATCATGGGGCTAAAATTCCCACCCCTGATCAAGTCATCACTGGGTCTCTCTTCTGTCCAGTCTGGTGCTAAGACCGTCTAGGGCCAAACTCCAATTCATTTCATTAGCGTAAATTTAGGCATAATCCAAGGGAGCTCTTTAAGGGGAACAAAAGGTATGTCCACCACTCAGGGAATGTCATAGGAATTTCAGAATTTCAAGAGAACCCAAGACTTCTGTGCTAGGACGCAAGGACAACAAAATTCATTTCTTATTCTAACATGCACAGGAAACAATAAAATCTGCAGTGCTATCCATATCAAAGAGAGCCAAGCTTAAATGATTAGATTTCCAACATTTGGTTATTACGAACATTTTACTAGAGCTCGGGCTTTATTGCCCCCTGCTTCAAGAGCCACCAGTGTTCTTAAGAGGACACCAGGATAGAAATGGGCTGATTCATGTAAAGTGTTGCCTTGTTTGCTACATTTCTGGTAGAAAGTGAATGAGCAAAATGGGATGCGTAGAATATCAGTCACCAGAAATGAGGTTCCTGTGTGGGTTAAAAACTAGATAATCAGGCTTTCAGCAGCCAGGGCCTGAGGATGCAGCTCAAACTTCTAATAGCCAATGCTCTTTGTTAGTCTTTTTAAGAGACTAAATGTTAAATTACTCTCCTTTAATTTATGTATTTATTTTTCAGGTGTATCAAGTCTGAAGAGAAAGCTCTTGGTGTGGGCTTACATGCATTTTGCACACGAGTATTTGGTATGAAGAATTTTCCCAATCTCATATCAGTCTATTTTAAGTGCTTAGTAAATGAAGTAATTGTCTTAGAATAAGAGACTAGCAAGTGGGGGATGGAGAGATGGCTCAGAGGTTGGGAACACTGGCTGTTCTTGCAGAAGACTCAGGTTCAAATCCCAGCACCCACATGCAGCTAACAACTGTTCCTAACTCCAGTTCCAAGGGATCTGACGGCCTCTTCTGTGTTCCTTGGGCATTGCACAACATGGGTGCACTTGCATACACGCAGGCAATGCATGCATACACATAAAATAAAAATAATAAATAAAATATATTTTTTAAAAAAGAGACTAACAACTATCTTATCTATACAAAACATAGCTCCCACCCCAAAGGGAATAAGTCATAATTTATTGTGGGATCCAACATGAATGACCAAAGCAAAACCACCGATTCAGTTACCCAAATATCATGTTCTAACCAGACAATAGTTTCAGGGAGTTCATAGTTGGAGAACAGAAGAAGTCATAGTAAGGCACTTCAAAGACACTGGTGGGACCATCATGCAGGCAGTTTCGAGCAAAATGGGAAACCTCTGCTGTCCAGGCACTATCTGATGACATGCTTACCATTTGTGTAGCTGGAAGCTAGAAGTCTAAATTCATACACCCCCAAAGTTTCATATGATAGTCACAGGATGTAAAGTCAGAAACAGCTAGGCAATGAATGATCAGTGAGGGGATAAAGATAATTGGGATCTTGATCTGCAACATTCCAAGTGTCCACAATCAGGAAGTCCTAACTAGTCAATCTGCCTTGTGGAATCTTTGACATGGGTGTGCACCCTCGTCCCACTTCAGTTCACAGTCCCTCATGTTTGTAAACTGTGATTTGTGTCTGTAGAGATGAAGAATCTCTCACTTTTGTCTAGAAAGTTCCTCTCTGGATTGAATTACACTTTTTGTATTTTAGAATATTTGAAATAAAACGAGCAGGAAACAGTTAAATATATCCAAAATCAGCACAAAAGACTTAATAATGTTAAAGATCATTAACTCAGTGAATAATTTTGTAGCATTTGATATTTGATATTTATTATTTCTCATTTGATCTACAAACTACATGGTAACTTATAGTTCCTAAAGGTTAAATTTAGAGCATTCACTTAATAATTTGTTACACTGTTTTAAAAATAGGGAAAACAAAGTATTTAATGTATCACAGTTCTTTTCTGTGCTGATGGGATCGTTTTTTTTTTTTTTCTTCCTTGCAGCTGGAATTCCAGCACCTATTTATTTTGGAGCTCTGATAGATTCCACCTGTTTACATTGGGGAACTCTGAAATGTGGTGAGCCAGGAGCATGCAGAATGTATGACATAGAGAACTTCAGGTAAAATGACTTTAGATTTTTAATTTTTTTTTATTTTTGACAATTTCATACCTGAGTTTTGCCTTTACATTATTTCCACCCCCCAGTACCCCCCAGCTCCTCCCACGTCCCTCCAGCTCCTTCCACGCCCCCCCAATTTCTTGTCCTCTTTGATTATTATTGTTGCATATACATAGTTATAAATATATCTATCTATATGTGTGTGTATATTTATATATGTATATATATAATGCATTGAGTCCATTTAGTGGTGATTTTTGTGTACCTGTGTCAAGGGCAGCCCACTTAGGATTAGATAACCTCTCAGGGAGCTCATCCCTGGAGAAAACTGATTCACCCTCCTTCAGCATCCATTGATTGTCTGTAGCTCTTCATTTTAAGGTGGGACCTCATAAAATTCACCCCATCCACCTTGGCATGCCAGTTGGTTTTGTCATTATGCACATTTTATTAGACTACCACACTGGTAGATCTCATTGGTGCAGCTTCCTGAACTAAGATACATTAACTCGCAGCAGGTGTCTTGTCCCTCCGGCTCTCACATTCATTCCACCCTGTCTTCCATGATGTTCCCTGCACCTTGGGTGTAGAGGTAGCATTGTAGATGTGTCACTTATGGCTGGGTACTTCAAAGTCACATATTCTTTGGGTTTGACCAATTGTGGAACTTTGTTATAATCTCCATCTGTTGCGAAAGGAAGCTTCTTTGATGAGTGGCGAGAGGTATGCTTGTCAAGATGGTCCAGATCTCATGAGCAGTGGGGTCCCTACCCTAGTCCCAGGGCAAGAAGATGCTGATGGAATCGATAAATTTGAGAACTCCTTTTATAGTGTTCCAAGTGGTACTAGTTATAGCTAACATGTTCATAAGTGGTAAGAATCCATTTGGCTTTATTTTCAAAATGCACACAGGTGTTGTGACTTCATTCTTCATTTATGTATTGGAATTGTATTTCCTCATTATTTCTAATGTGCTTGATACACTGGAGCATGAATAGGTTTCCTGACCCAACCCTTCAAGATACTTAAGAGAAGGGCAAGGAGCCTGCAAAGAGGCTCCGGTCAGTAGGAGTGGGCCAACATTTGAGTAAGTGATGTACGAACATCAGAACACTGGAAATTCACAGGACAGACACGCAAACCTTCTACGATCCAGAGACCTGAGGCAATGGCATAGTAGGAGGAAACAAAAATCTCTTGGCTTCTACCACCCTATTTCTACAGACAGAGAAGAGGGACTCTCCTCTATCCTCCTCCAGGGGTCGGACAACAGAGTCCCAGCACACTCAAGCAGTTTGGATATTGGCAATCTTAGCTCTAGGGAAATTTCATAGCATTCCCAGGCTTATAGCCTAACTAAGCGAGAAACCCAGAATCTGTGTGGTCAGTCCTCTTGATGTGCATCACACACCCAGGAGCTGCCTTGAGATGAGACATACTTTCTAGACTTGGACTGAATCTTTGCCCATGTCTGGGAATGCACAGATGCCCCACTGAGCAAGCTCTGTGGCTAGTGGCTTCATGAACCCAACTTGGCTCAGCAGAGAGACCGTGATACAGACCCACTGAAAGAGTTGTGCTGTAGTGGATGTTGCCAATGGTAGGAGGAACTGAAGCCCCTGCTCTCAAGAACCAGAAGACCAGAGAATCTGCCATCCAAGATCAGGGGCATGGCTTGTTGTGTGCAGTTTCATGCTGCTGCGTGGACTGAAAGCAATTACCTACCTGGCTCCCACCACTCTGTCCCCAGTGTTCATAGGCACCTGCCCCTGCCATACAGTGAAAGGACTCTGACTCCACTGCTGCACCCACAGGGGTAGTGCTGGGTTGACCTTGAACAGCATGGTCATTCTGGCTGTTACTTTGTCCCGTAGGCCACCAACCTAAGAAATCCTAAGGAGAAACTTGGTTGCTTTTGACTACATTGTGCCCTTATATGCTCCTAAAACTACTTAGGTTAAAAGGAATTTTCCCCAGCTCTAACATGACTCACTCCTGCTCTGTCCCTGGCTGAACACTACATTGAACCATCTGGGGAGGAAAAGCCTTGGCCATTGTCCTGTCCCCAAGTGTGAACGGTTAGGGGCATCTAAGATCCCATTCCAGACCTTCATATCCATAGCAGCAGCACAGAGGGACATGCAGTTGCTGTCAGTGCACCTGTGTCATGTTGTGATAAAACACTATGATGAGGGAGACTTATAGAAAGAAAAGTTTATTTAGGCTTACAGTTCCAGTGGGCTAAGTGTCCATCATGGTGGGGAGGCATGGCTGGAGGCAGCCAGAGCAGAGAGCTGAGAGCTCATATCTTCGGGCATGGGCAGAGAGCCGGCTGGAAGTGGGACCAAGCTGTGAACTCTCAAAGCCTGCCCCAGTGACATGTCTCCTCCAGCTAGGTCACACCTCCTGAAAGTTCTATGACACCCCCCCCCAACAGGTCTTCCCACTGGGGATCAACTATTCAAATGAGCCCATGGGGGACATTCTCATTCAAACCACCACAGTATCTGTGTGGGTCTCCACTGTCAGTCAGATCTGCACCTTGTCTGAACATGTCCTTCTGACAAGACTGGGTTAGAGCACCACAGAGGGGGTGGCATGAATCCTATCCTCTCGTCTCCCCTGAAACACCAGGCCTACGCAACCCTGTTTGGAAGACAAGTGCTTCTGGCTTCTCATTATTCCTCATGCTGACCGTGTCAGAGGCCCTGAAGGGTAACAGAACCAACATCAGAGGAACCTATACCACCTGACAAGAACCACTGCTCTAGGGTGCCCCACGGGGTGCACCGCACACTGCCGTCTATACTGCATCTGTCTGAGCTGCTAGGATGCTGTCAATTTTATTAGTTACTGTTTGTCACTGTGACCAAATACACAAGAAAATGCCTTAAAGGAGGAAAGATTTATTTGGGCACACTGTTTCAAAGGGTTCAATCCATCATGGAGGAGAAGCATGGAAACACAGCTAACATCAGGGTCAGCAGGAAGCAGAAAGAGACAGAGAGAGGGAAAAAATAAGATGTAGCTCTCAAGATCTCCCTCCAGCAGCCCATGACTTATTTTTAAATCTTTAAGGGAAAAGGACTTGTATTAGCTTTCTTTCAGTTGTTGTGATAACAAAAACACTGACCAAAACCAACTTGGGGAGGAAAGGGTTTATTTTGTCTTACATCTCCCAGGTCACAATTCATCACTGAGGGAAGCCAAGGTAGGAACTCCGGGCAGGAATCTGGAGCACAGACCATGGAGGAATGCTGCTTACTGACTTGCTCCCCTGTCCTGTGCTCAGCCTACTTTGCTATACAGCCCAGGTCCACCTGCCCAGGGGTGGCACCACTCACAGTGGTCTGGGCTCTCCCCTATCATTCAATAATCAGGAAACTGTCCCACAGACACAGCTACAGGCCAACCCAATGAAAGAAATCCCTCAATGGAGGTTCCCTCTACCCAGGTGTGTCAAGTTGACAACTGAAGCTATCCAGCACAATCAACTGCTTGTCAACTTGACATACAAACACTTCACTATTAAATATAACCTTTCCGATTCTTATCTAAAAGTTCAAAGTTTCTTTAAAAAGTCTCTTGACTGTGGGCTCCTGTAAGATCCCAAACAGGTTATGTATTGTTTTATTTCAAAAGAGAACTGGGCACGCTTACGTAAAGCCAAAGTCTAGCAATGTAGCTCTATGTTGGACATCTGGGATTCTCTCATGATCCTCTGAGCTCCAAAGGGCTTAAGCAGCTTCACTTCTCTGGCTCTTTCAGCCACAGTACACATAGCTTGTCTTGAAGGCTCAGGTCAACTCCATTTCATACCTGTTGTTGTCCTGGGTGATCATCCCATGGTCTTGGCATCTCCAGTATCCTGGGATCTCCACTGAAACTGAGGTTGCACCTTCACTAATAGGCTCTCCTGGCCTCTCAGGGTGTAAAGCTTCAGATTCTCTCCATGATCCTTTCAGTCCTGGGGGTCTTCACTGCAACTGAGGCCGCACCTTCACCAATGGCCTCTCCTGGCCTCTCACTGTGCAAAGCCTCAGACTGTCTCAGTGAACCCTTCACACCTTCAACACCACTACCAAGTAGGAGACTCTGACAGATTATCAAGTCCTGCTTCTAGTTTGAGATGAAGGCTTGGACCTCCTCTGGACCCCAGCTTCTGTGTGCCAATCTGAGGAATACTTTATGGAAGATTTTTGCCACAGTGATGCTGGTCTCTTGTTACTCACAGCTGATTTTTCAGCCCCAGGTAACCAGCATCAATTGTCTCAGTAAAGCTAAGGTTTCACTTCAGTGGCGAGGATCTCTTCTTAACCATAGCTGATTCTTCAGCCCAGCCCACCAGAAACCACAGAATCTCAATTCAAACTATCACACAAAGAGCCCTTAATGTTCTTGTAGGCAGCATGTTATTGCAATTTTTTAGTCATTCAACTAGTCTGTCTCTTCTAATAGCAGAATGTAACCAACTTACATTGAGTTATTATTGAAAGGACTATACTTATGCCTGTCCTTTGGTGATTTTCTTCTAGTTATTTTAATGATCATTGTTTATTTTTCCTCTCTTGCTTATGTTTTTAGTTTGATAGTTGTGCTGGATAGCTTGAGATGTCAACATACTTAGAGGTAGAAGGACCCTCAACTGAGGAATTTCCTCCGTTGAATTGGCCTGTGGCCATGTCTGTGAGGCATGTTCTTGATTGTTGAGTGATGTGGGAGGACCCAGCCCACTGTGGCTGGTCTCATCCCTGGGCAGATGGTCCTGGGTTGTATAAGAAAGCAGGTTAAGCACAGGCCGGAGGAGTAAACCAGTAATTAGCATTCTTCCACAACCTGTGCTTAAGCTCCCACCTCCAGGTTTCAGTCCCATGGTCCTGCCCTGATTTCCCTCAGTGATGAACTGTGACCTGGGAGATGTAACATAAAATAAACCCTTTCCTCCCCAAGTTGGTTTTGGTCAGTGTTTTCATCATAGCAATGGAAAGTAACTAAGACAG